AAAATATTCAGAGAGGATGTCACAGAACTGTATCTGAGAAACAATATTTGCAGGGTCTGTTACAATATTTTTTCGAACCAAATTACCATTATCATATTAAAATTCGTCGCTTGAAGTCAATTAGATTTTAAGTATTTCTATTCTAAGTTTTAATTTGATTACAAATTTTTTTCAAGGCGAGGGAATTTGTGAATCAGATTAACGACGCATGCGAATCACCTCTTGATCTTGCGCTTTCCAACAGAAATATGCAATTAGCGCACTCGTTCTTGAATTATGGTGCTGATGTTGACCTCATTTTCGGAAAGCCTGGAGACGAAATTCCTTTGCTACATCATGCTCTTTACCGACGAGATATTGCTGCCGCTAAGTTTCTAATGGAAAATTCATGTAATGTAAGTAAAAAATGGTTTCTTTTTTGAACATTTTTACACATTTTCAACTTTTTAATAAACATACTGCTATATTGGATTATACTTCCTCAAGGCCTGACTAATCGCGTTTTGTTATTGCAGTTAAACATTGTCGCTCCATCTAATGTCGGGAAAGGAAAGAACTTGCCGAGGAGATCTGCTCTTCATATTATTTCAGCTACTACGCTGCCCCAATCAGATAAAGACGATGAAGAGGTCGAGCACTTATTTGATCTGATCGCATCTTTCATTATAAAAGGCGCGAATTTAAATCTCTTGGATGAATATGACAAGTAAGCTCCTTATTTGACTGAATTTTTATGTAATATTTGTCAACTGATCGACCTATTTATATTCCCAATTTTTTGATAGATAAATCGATAAATTTATCAGATATTGAATTATTCCAATATTTGTGAACATCTTCAAAGTACTATCTAGTTCACAACAAACTTTGAATAATATTAAGGAATATATTATTTTACAATTGCATCTAAGGGCCCACATCTGGCTTGTCTAGCATAATTTGTTAACAACTTATTAATATAGATTTTTTATGGGCCACGCTTTTGTCATCACTGCCTCTGAAGCCTATCGGGCAAAATAGAATCGTATAATGACGTTTATCTTCATATTTTTCTCATATTTAAGTAAAAGCTGATGCTTTTTTTTCAAAATTTTTATTTTGTTTCGGATGAAAATATAATCTGCAAAGTTTTACCACCGTTATACTGTACTAGCCGGAGGAATCTATGACTTCCGTTTTTTGTTTATATGAAAAAATCTTTATTTAAACAACTACATATAACCATATTTATTCATTTTATCTGGAAATAACTAGCAAAAACTAAAACATTTATTCTTGAATCGTGTTAATTTAATTTTGTCTAGGTTTAATTACCAGAGAAAGCGTCAAATTATGATATACTGGACTTGTGGATTTGCTACCTTTTGAATTACTGATGCCACGTGCCTCCTGTTTTTCCACTTTTAACCATTTTAGTACTACCTTTGAGGTTTACAAACAAGATTGTCTTAGTGCTGTTAGTGGCATTATTAGTTTTCTGGAACATATGGCTACTCTGGACATTTTGAGGATACTTGGAGCTAGTACTTCAAACAGGCAGTTTTGGGAGAACAAGGAAGCAGAATATGCTGGTCCCATTTCCGAAACGTTTTCATTTTTCGTGCAACCCCTGGCCTTTTTACTATCTTTCATAAGAAGCTATGGTACTTAAGCGTCATGGCATTCGGCTGTTAATAGCTACTTGCTATGCTTTGGAACAGTATATATATGGCTATATGGTTTTGCAATATTTCTCGCTGCATTTCCTGGCTTGTGTTAGGTAAAATACTTAGTTTATTGTTATCAACAATGGGGCCTTCATGGTGTACTCATATTGTATGAAAAAAACTTGTTATCTACTTCATACACTTCAGAACTTTTTTTTACCTCTCTTGTCGAATAACCTACCTTCAAAATTCGCATTACACATTGGACAGCTTACTACCGCACTCATAATTAGTCCTTTAATATCTATGGTGGCCAAGACATATGATGCGGCACGAGGTCTATCAAGAGGCCAATGTTGCATGACTCTACTGGAGCTGAAGAAGTAAATGAGGTCCTTGAATTATGAGCAAAATCTTTGTTGGCGCATTGCAGAGTTTATGCCTTGTGTGTATCTAAGGGAAAATCCGATTTATTCGCCTGATAGTCAGAGTGGGTATACCTCCAAGGGTCATTTGGCTGCAAAAGTAGTCGTCGTACGGATCGTATGCAAACTGAAGCTTGCAGATAAGGATGAAGGGCAAGAGCCTGAGACAGAATTCGTAATGAAGCAGCTCCAAGTAAATGCGCCTACTTTTCTTGAGCAGATTGGATCTGATGAGCCTGTAATTCAGCTGATATGACTGAGCTTGTCTATTCTTTTTGTAGCCAGTATAATCTTGCACAGTTTAAATTACGACTATAATTCGAGAGTAGTAGATAAGTTTCCATACCCAACGATTTGGACCAAATCAGCTCTATTGAAGAGCGCATGTTTACAAAGAGACTTATTATCTCGGGACGGACCTATATACCTACCTCAAGCAAGCACCTAAAGCTGATACCTCTTTGCACGTAATAATGCTAATGAAGAGTATTGCACTATCGATTACTCGAAAGCTCTATGGAATAAATATTCATACTTAGTAGGTTTAGAGTTTATCGGTCGATCTTGACTTAGGTCGCGTAGAGCTATGAGGAGCTGATGTTCGAGTTTTCCCACAATGATGCGAGGGAAAATCCCGAGGCTCTTGAATTTCATTTAGCCTTGCCTCTTAAAAGGTAATATCATCCAGGGTGCCATGTAGTTTTGACTTCTCCTGGGTCTCATCAGCATATACTCGGCTAGTGTAGCTTTGTTGAGTTTTTCGACGAGGCAACTTCTATTTTATAATTAAAATTGGTCATGTGTCTTGTATTTCTAGTTATTGGGATTTGAGACTACTAACAAATATTGAATAAAATTGCCTTCTTAGACTTTTCGTTTTGTAAAGGACTTATTGTAGATTCTCAGGCTAGCCTTGTTAGTTCTACCAAAGTGTTGATGGTTGATTTCTGCTGTTCTTGCTCTAAGTTTACTCCTTCTACACTTTTAATTAGAATATTTAGATATATTTACTTTGTTATCAAAAGTGTCGTCTTGGTATGGATGAACGAAATTGCGAAAACAGTCGTGAAACCGAAACAGTGAAATTCATGACATTATTCCTGACATGCTGCTCGCATTAATGCTTAAGTCCGGACATCAAATTGAGAACCTTTTCCTTAAACAAAACAAGTATTTGAGAAGAATTTTCTGCACTCTATCGCCCTAACCATAAAGTGGATTGTTGCTATCAGATATGTGGTTGAATTAAAGAAAAACTTTGTTTCTGTGCTCACATCCAAGACCAAGCTTGGTATTGTTCGTAAAAGGGCTAGAATGATGAAAGGCCTAAAAATATAGTCTTTCACAATGAGGCCTCATAACACCACATATAGTAATCTAAGTTGACCCTAATTATTATGAAGTATCTTCCGGTGTTTTCGAAGCCTACTCCATTATCTGTATTTGCCTAAACATCTGGGTTTTCGCTCTGGCCAACATTTACATAATTGTCACTATAAAGCAGATTTTGTCGTGCTTTATTTTAGACATGTCCTCTCAAGTCTGTCGTCATCCGTAATATTTCCTTATAGGCTCATAATAGTGCTACTTGGGCTAATTGACGAAAATAGTGTAATGAACTACTCATTCGCTCACGCCAGTCCCTTGGTTTCAACTATCATGATAGGCACGCGAGCATACACCTCTGCCTGCATGCTTGCACACGTTCATACTTGTCGGACTGGATCATAGCACTTAATGTGACATTGCATATTGTGTGCTGGCGATTCCTTAAGCAAGCGAAGAAATTCATCACGCCTTTGGCGTTCGCACTGTATGCGAGCTCCGTTCGCAGTCCAGAACTAGCTTCATCATCTACTCATATTACTGCGTATGCACGATTACTCTAGGTGTAGGCTTAAGCGTACACTTTTATCTTTAAGGACAACAAGCTTTTCCATTGCTTATAATATATTTGCATACATACTAACCAACTTTTTTGCATGCACATACATAGAGAATTCCCATTACCACTTAGAGCCAACTCATGGATCTGCTCCCATTGTTTAATCAATGAGATTGACCCAGCAGTTCGAATAAAATATATCATTTTCGTAACTTTATTTGAGCTCAATTCCCTTATTAAATTCTAATTATTCGTCTTATACTGGGTA